GGGTTGAGGGTTTGGGGTTTGGGGTTTTGTGTGGGTCTACGGCTTCAAGGCCCACACATCGCATGCAGGCAAAGCGAAACCGGTCAATGTTCGGGGTCAAGCATCCTACGTCATGTGCATCGGAGGAGTAACCTCGCCAGACCATGCAGGTGTGGCCAGCCAGTAACTCTACAAAGCCCTGTACTAAACCGTATACAACCTCATACAAACCCTATAAACCCTGGGTGCGGTCGAACCGTGACAGGGAACAATGCAACAGAGCCCTGGCAGAGGACTACATGGAACCATGACTAGCAGGCGGGCACAGCATGACAGTTCTCGCGAGTCCAGAACAAAAAAGCCTATAACAACCGGTAACTCTACGACCCCAGCGCGGCCTCGATGTACCGTTGCACAGTGAGTCCTGTGCGAGTTCGCGGTGCTTTGGGGCTGTTGGGGCCCTTGGGCCATTGTTTAATGACGGATGAGATATCTATATGTATATATAGATATATATGTATATGTGTACATGATACATCTTATATACACATATATATATATATGTATCTGTGTATAAAATGAACATGATATTGGATGCTGCCTTGTGGGCAAGCAATGGGGGAGCTGGTGTTCAAACGGGGGGGGGGGGGGCAAACTAACATCTTCGATCGAGTGCACTGGCTGATTTCCACAAGGCTCCTTGCTGAAGCTTTGGACATCTGTGGTGAGCGCTGCCAGTCGCCGGTTGCTGCTCCCTTGCCTCGTGCTGCAGAAGAACGGTTTCAGCTGGGCCGCTTGGCCGATATCCCAAACCTAGAAGGGCTTAATGTGAGATGCATAGGCCCTTCTTGTCCGAAAGGTAGCTGGGTTGTCAGACCAGGCTCTAGGTACACCAAGCTTGTGGGGTTCATGTCGGCATGCATGGGAGGTGACTGCCCAGGATGTGCAGCTACAGATCTACATGCGCGAGCTCAATCTCTATTCCTTCATCCAGGTAGCGACAGCTCGAGCTGTACAGTGATGTCGGCCGTCGTCCTCGACGTATCGCAACAGTGCCAACAAGCTCCATTAGTCTGCATCACTTGGGCTGAAGTCTCTGAAGCGTCTGCTTTTTTGTGTTTCAACTGTCGGTCTTCTTGGTCCTCTGCGTGTGGCCTCCCCAAAATCCCCTGAAGCCCGCAAGCAATTTCTGGGACCCATCCCTTTCCCCCGACCTCACGGGTGTGTGTGCTTCTCACACAGTTCGGGACTCTGTTGGGGGGCGGCTTTGCTTTGGCAGGAGGAGAGAGCATCTCATCCCCTAGACTCAAGCCGAAGCAGCAAGATCCCAAAAGACGTGCCCGTTAGATGCATGATGAACATGCTCACTGGCGCCTTGGGCGTTTAGGGTTTAGGGTTTAGGGTTTATGGTTTAGGGAATCCTAAGCAGACTCTCGAAAGTAGAAACCTCAATGCGCGCAGATGAGGCGCGGGTTCTCCAACGTGAGGTTGCGATGGAGGATCCCTGGTGAGGGAGAAGCAACCAGCGAAATGAAACCGGTTGCGATAAGATGACGAAACCCTAAATCCAAAACACCCCTAAACGTACTGAAAGGATAAGAAGGCTTCAGGGTGTCCAATAACAGCTCACTAGAGGGTGAACAGGGGGGGGGGGGGGGATTGGATTTGGGAAATTTTGGACACAAGATTTGGTGCAATCGGACATTCGGAAGTTCTTTACAGTTCTTGGTCACCTAAACCCGAAACTCCACACCCTAAACCCCACGCAGCTGAATTTTCGCAGGCCCTGAACAAACTCGGCATAGCTGCACGGTACTGCCTTGATGAAGAGCCTTCTATACCAAAAAAAGTAGGTTTTGAGGCGGCTCGCAAAGGCCGTGCGGGTGATGAAAGGGCTTTCAGCAACTCAACTCTAAATCTATCTCGTTATGTCATGTTGTGATATTTTGTAATGATCTTCATAATTGCAAAATACTTGTGCTTATCTATTTGATAAGGCCTCTGCATGGCGAAGCGAACTATGCATTCAAAGCTTCCGGGTTGTATTGTCATGATGCAGTTCTTGAAAGAATCGGATTGTGAATTGTTCACGAGGCCTACTGTAAGGTGCTCATGCGGAATTGTCGAGCTAGCAACAGGCCTTGTGTAAGTTCCACGCTGGGTACGCACCTACCTTGCCCAATCAGCTGAGACTGGTGAGCCTTACTTCTAATATACCCTTTGTCGAGGCGCCTGGGTGCTCAGAGAAGGCGCTGATGCTGTCAGGGCTGACAACTAAGCCTTCCAGGGAATCTGGGTCTCAAAAGAGAGTTTCACGAGATCAGAATTGCCCTTCCATAGCACTAACGCACCTTTAAATTGCTCAGTCTCCTACATCAAACGAGCCTCCGCCCCCCCGCCTCCCAGCATCAAAGCAAAACTTCTCTACACCCCCTTTGCCACTGGACTTCCCCACATCCTTTTTGCATCCGGACACTTCCCCACATCCTAAACCCGCAACCCTTCATCTCTAACAGACCCAGCAGCAAAGGTCCCTTGTGGCTCCAGCCCTTATTGGGGAGGGGGTTCCCCAAATTAGTGCCCCGATTGTGGGCGGCCTTCTAGGCTGCCCGTGGTTTGGGGATGTATATATATATATATACATGTATATGCATAGGATATCTCTATAATGTATATTTATATATACACCCACATATACCCATTTGGAGCTGCATTTGGAGTCCTTAGAGAGTTGAGGACCCATTGGGCCAGCGAAGCTTCGAGCCTGGAAGGAACCTCAGAAGGCACAGCAGAAGCAGCCATCGGAGGTCCAAGGCCCATGCCCCAAGCATGGGAAGGTGAACTCTAATCCCTAAACCCTAAACCCTACATCCTAAACCCTAAACCCTGACTTCTAAGGTGAAAGCCTTCTTGTCTGATAATGAAGCACGTCCTCTTCACGTCTATTGGCACCTGAATGCCCATGGTTGGAGCATGCGTTCCACGGGCCGTCTATACATGAGGGTGCTTTGTGTGTGCCATGACATGTCGCAACATGCCCCTGCTTGCAACCCCCTCGTGTGAATTAGTGATCCCTTTGAGCAGATGGGTCGGTGACCGAAACTTTCAGAGCTTACCGCATCTCTTGGGCTTGATTTGCTTATTCAGCATCTCAGCGGTGTAGCCTGTCAGCCAGCAAATGACCTCGTCTACTTCCTTCTGCTTCCGTCCCTTCTTCTCCACCTTCTGCATGTACAGGGAATACTAGGAAAAGACATGCCAAAGCTTCGGTGCTTCATCGAGGACTTGGGTGCAGCATTTCCTGGCTTGCTCGGCTTCTTTGCAATGGTTTTCTTGTCTGCTTCTTCGCAGCCATCTGGCAGGGCTCACGAGGTTTCAAGGCCTGTCAATGATGTTGTTTATGTACAACACGAATGATATATATATATATATAGCATATATATATATATATATATATATATATATCCAATCTTCCACTAAGCTTCCTGGACCGTCAATTCGCACGCCGGACCACTGCAGCGTGGCCAGCGATGGCTACTGTTGTTATCAGGGTTCTCAATGGAGAAGATGTCTGTCTAGTTGATGACACTGCTCTCATTAATGATGTGAATATACCCCGGCAGCGGATGCTTTGTGTCAACCTTTGTCAGTCAAGCCATGAAAACACGAAGTAAGATAAAGGGATAAACAAAACTAGAGCAGGGCTTCGGGCATCTCATTACTGCTGCAGTTCCGCATTTTTTCAGCATTGTCAGAGTAAGCAAGGGCTTGGCTGGGGCATTTGAGCTTAGGCACTAAAGGGCTTAGAGCAGCCGTTTGTTGAATCCAGTCCCTCAAAACACCTTCCTGGAACCCCAAATCCCGAACCTAAACCCAAAAGCCCTAAGCCCGTAGGCAAGGCACTGAGTGCTGGCAGAACTTTAGTTGACACCCTCATCCCACAGAATGGCCTAATGTCCTCTTTCTACTCATGGATGCCAAGGCTTCATTCACATACATTCGGGAATCACAAGAACCGGCGATGGTATAGGCTTTGGGCAGGCGAGTATCCGAGTATCCCAGAAGTTCACCACACGCTCGTGCGACATGGAGGCCACGGAGGCCCTAGTTTTCCACAAGGACCGGCATTGCCACACAACGGTCCTCTGACCTGGCACGCCGAGGTCGGTCACACGTTCTGTCGTTTAATGCGGTTCAAAAGATGGCTGAGTCCGTTAGAGCCGTTGACGCTTCACCTGTCGCGTTACCGCAGGTACTGCCGCGTCGTCTGACCTGGCCAGCCTCATGTCTGTCAGCCCTCGTGGCGGGGAGGTTCACTGCAGTCGCCTCTCAATCTGTCTGTTGCCACCTTGCAGCGCCACGGCAGTCTCCCTCCACATTTTTTGCATTTTAGGCCCGTGATTGTTGCTCGATGCACTCAGAAACAGCAGCGACTAACGGAAGATGAAGAAAGTAGACGGCGGAGCCATGGCACTGTGGAAAGGGACACTCTCCCCCGCGGCACGAGCTGCTTCCAATCTCCCCCCCCCCCCCCCCAACTATGGTTGGCAAGCTACCCAAACACAAAAACAATGCTTTTTTGTCTTGCCCATCAGAGATAGAAGCTCAGTTTCAAAGGGTTTCGAGCTCCTACTTACCCCTTTCCCATGAATGGAGGGCCTTCATGGCATCTGGAACCCATCACCCACTTGAGCTCTTCTGGCACAAACCTGCGTTCTGAAGGCCCAAGGTCACCATGGCCGAGTTTCAGCCAATGCAACCGCCACACAAATGGGGGTGGTGCGAATTTCATCGCGAGGCGCCACACTCAAGACCAGGGCGGGACAGCTGCTGTTTAAGTGCTATTATTGCGGATGCAGCATCACGGGTATCTGCAACTTTCTCGCCGGTAAGGAGTCACTACAGGCATCGGCCCAGCCCCGAGTAAACAGCGAGGAAGTGGGCGCAAGAAGGCATTAGCTACCAGTCTAAAACAAGAAAGTACAAGTATGCAAGCCAGCCTTGGTTGCGCTTTGCGCGACTCATGGCATGAAGAATGCATACACTGGGATCTCCAGGTTGTCCAGGACCTGACGCTCCCAGCGGCATCCCACCCCCAACGGCTTCTGCGTGTCAGGATGGACGGGCGCTTTGCGCCTGAAGGCGCAGCCGTGAGAGATCCGGATCATACCTTCGCCCCAGCAATCAGGCCGGCCGTTGCGGAAGGCTTCCCTTGGTCCAGCGGCAGGTCCGGGTAACCCCCGTCTTTTTTTTAAGGGGCGTAGAAGGGATCCTTAAGAGATCCTTACAAGAACCTGGCTTCTTTAGCATCAGCTCAGCAAGAACAGAAGGGTCAAGCACACATTCTGGCAGTTCGAGGCTCTGTGGCAGCTTGAGCGCATCAGCATCCGCATCGGACAGTTCAGAAGATCCCGCCCCATACTTGTCGGACCAGTCCTCAGCAGTAAGCACAGCTGAAGTCCGACGGAATGCCAAGAATAGGGAGGCGGCTCGGGCATGACTTGGCTTCTTCTGCTGCCTCCTATTTAGTCGAGTTCATATGGCACTGCGCTGTTCACAGCCGAGCCGCTGCCTCGTAGATGTTCGAGACTGCGCAGCAGATTACGGCACCTTCCAGATGGCGCCTTCGCACCTCTCTGATCCACTGGCAGCACCAGCCTTGGAGATAGGGTTTAGAAGTCGAGTCATGGCGAACCTCGATGCGCCCAAAGAAACCATAACAGGGCCTTGAACATCCCTGAATTCCCAAGTCAAGCAGCACTTGTAGCTGACTCCAACATCCGGCTCCTGCCTGGCACTACGCGATTCCACGAGGGCTCGCCATTTCTGATCACGGTCTTTCACCTGTCTCCCCCAACACCGTAACTTAAAGAACCCCAGACCGACATTTTGTGTAGGCTAGAATTGTACCAAGGCCTTACAAGATCCGGGCCAGCGACTGCCGGAACTGGGACGCTATCCCGGCCGCAGTCGCTGCAAGGATGGGTCCAGCTGCTGTCGTCTGCGGTGTTCCCGAAGACCAGTTCATCTCCGAACCAAACGGTGGCCGTGCCTGGGCACAGGCGGCCGCTGTATCAGCTATCTGAACCCTGCACGGGAGGCTTCGCAGGGCTTCCAAGGCTGACAGTAAATGGTTGCAGGATTTCAGAACGCGAGTACGTTTTCTGGGATACGCGGTCTACAGCCTACGCATCTCCGCAATGCTGAGCTGAGTCGCTGCCATGTTCGGTTTCGTTCAGCCTCGCCATTACGAACTCGTAGGCGCTTCCCCCAGGGACCGAGGCGCCCGCCGTCTTGAATCTCTTCCGCATCATGACCGAGCAGTCGTAGTTGTCGTAGAAGGTGAAGATGATTCCCGTCCCTGCCACCTCCTTGCACTCCTCCACGAAGCCTAGGTCTGCCTGCAGCTCCTCTGATGCCAGCTTTAAGAGCCACCAGGCCTGGGTTGCCTGGATGGCCTCCAGTATGAACCTGCGGCTCTTCCGGAGCTCTGAGGAGGCAAACTCGAGGCACATGCCATTCCTCCTCACCGCGGCCAGCACCACCTCTCATGGCACAGGCTTCCTGCTGCCATCTACTCCAGAGACGATAGAAGCCGCAGCAGAAGCCTCTGCTAAGAAGCCCCGGCTCAAACATGACTTGAACTTGTAACTTAAAACGCCCTGAAACCCCAAAAGCCGTCAAGAGGTCCTCCTATGCCCATGGAAAGCTTCGGGGCCTCCCAGTCACCCTTCAGCTCCTCCGCAGCGAACTCCAAGGCTAGAGGGGTCTCCTGAAATCTCGCTCCCGCTCTCCCGCAAACTCGGATTCGTCAACCGCTTTGCTATGGAATTTTTGTGTGCATCCCAAAAAGGCCCTAGTGTAGAGAGCCCTCGGGGCATTTTCCATGCGCTCCTTCGGCGATAAAGTTGACTGTTTGAATTCGATCCCCAGGCTTCCGCAAAATTTGCAGCTTCTAGCATCCCTACACACAAGTGGGGGGATTTTCCCAAAAAGGCAAAAATTATACATTTAAAAAAAAAAAAACATCGCAGCGCTTGCATTCGGAAGTCCCTCACCGCTGCGAGGACAACAGCCCGGTTCTGCTTCAGCAGCCGGCCCGCAAACTGCAGCGCTAAGCCACCTGGGCTCCACAATCTCGAGAGCCCCAATATAGCAACAACGAGTGCTAAACCTTGCCATAGTGTGATATATATATATATATATATATGTATGGATACATATACATATATATATATGTGCATATGTATGTATGTATACATACTGTGAAGTCGACCAGCACTGGACTTGCACTAAGCCAATGCAATCACAGCCCGGTCACGCTGTTTTACGACTTCGTGAGTCCAAGCACTTGTGCAGCTACGCCTGAGTGCGTCCGGTCGGACCGCACAGCAACCTAGGAGCTACTGTACGCCTCTACCGTGCTCAAAGGCACAAGCTCGGTACATGAGCCAAAATATTGGCATTGATACGAATTGCAAATCTACACATGCAAAGGAAAACTACAGTACTGGTTCTGGCAGCTCTGCACATGGAACGTGCGTGCTTAGACCTGCTCACATTCGCCCCTCAGCCGAGGCTTCCAGCTCATCTCGAGCTCGGAGTGCAGCAGGCACTCGCGCTGAACACAGAAAGGGAAGGGCGAGGGTGTCGCGTGCGACCATGGTGGTCCGCACATCATGAGCATTGGCATGCGGCAGGGACGCTAGCCCGCACCACCACAACGAACGCACGACGACAGCAACCCTCAGCAGCCCTTAACCACCCTTTCCCAGGAGGTCCTCACCCTTTTGCTGGTGGGCGAGGCTCTTGAATCCTCGAGCTGGTCTCTAGCTGCCAGTACGCAGACTAGGGTACAAACTATGGTACACTGTACACTTCCGGTCCTAAGCTACGGCTACGGCTACTCACCTATCTGGAACTACCCTACGGGCTACCGGACTCAGCGAGAGCCGCGCACATGGCTTGTGCCGCAGGCAATGCAGCTCACACGCGCTTCGGCGAGCGCATTGCCGCGACCAGGACACGGTCCGCAGCACCTGCAAAAGAGCACCCTCAGCACGAGGGGCCACAGGCAGGGCGGAGGAGAAAGGTGCGGGGAATGCAAAATGGGCAGGTTTCCAACCTGCCGCGGCTTTTCGCCCGCAGTCAAGCAAAAGAAAATGCAAAAGGTTGGCGAAGCAACGTGCCGTGCTGCAACGCCTGCTCTGATAATGCGTGGATGCATACCACGCCGCGCCGACTGGCCGCAGCCTACTCGATACCCTGTGGAGCAGTGTTGGGGGCACGAGTGGCGTTGCCAGCAACGTTGGAGCTACTGGCTCGCTCCAACTGAGGGCGCCTTGCGACCGCCTCATCGAGGGAGAATGCCTCAGCCGACACCCTCTGGAAATCCTCGATGTAGGACTGCGCGACCGGGTGCGTCTTGGCGACCTCAAGCCTAAGCCCTGCCTCCGCATTGGCTTTGCTGCTTGTGGTAAAATTGAGGCTCCCAATCAGCACCACCGCGCCATCAGGCCGCAGTAGGCAAAGGGCCTTGGCACGGTGAAGCCCTTGGATACCGGTACCTACTTTAGCCCCGCGGCCGTCGCGAGCATAGGCGTCGCGCACGGATGTGCCGCAACCCACCTTCACCTCGGCGCCTGCAGCCGCCAAGCGTTTCAACGCTTGCCACTGCAGTTTGGTGCGGTGGCATTGTCCCATGTCGGCGACAATCCGAACGCCTGCGCCCTTGCTAAGCGACGCTTCGATTGCCTCGATGCAGGATGGGCAATCTAAGCTGTACGCCCGGATGTAGATCACATCCTCTGCTGCTCCAGACCCAAGCAGCGTTTGGGCGGCCTGAACGTATGGCCCGCCCGCAAGGAATTCCGCTTCTTTGACTGGAGAACTCCTAGCGGGGACTGGGCCCTTGTTCCTCCGGCTGGGTGTGCGCGCCACAGTGGCAGTGGCGGCACGTTGCACGAAGCCGGACTGTGCGTGGGCTGCGCTCGCTCCATCTGCTGGGGCCGCGGCCAGGTCACGACCCGCGAGCCCCTGAAAGCAGGAGAGCCCGCGGCTCTTGGCCGCAAGTTGGGAGAAGCATCCTTCACTGTTCCCCAAACCCAACACAACCTTACCCTTAGCTAGGGCTTCGGAGGCGGTACTCCGAATGGAGTCTGTGAGCGCAGAACCCGCGCCTCGCTGGGCCGCGTGCAAAAACCCTAGGGATCGAGCGGTGTCCATTGCGGCATCGCAGTGCCCGCAACGTCCCTCTGCTAGGTAAGCACGACAGCCACAGGCAGCTGTCTCCTCCTTGAGGTGCACCCAAACTTTATGGGTCACCCCTTTCTTAGTGCTCGCGACCTCAAACGTCGCTTCAGAGCCAAGGAGTTGAGACAGCCGCGCCTCAGGGGCCGCGGTGTTGCCATGTCGCAGATGCGCAATGCGATTGGCAACGGCACGACTCACGTACCACAGAACAGCGCTGCACAAGATCACTACTACCAGAGTGATGGCTGTTCCGGCGACCCACACGGTCCGCCTGGCCCCATGACCGATTTCCTCGACAACGTCGGCCGAAATTGTTGCAACCGCGTGCGTGGAGTCCTCGACAACATGCACAGCCCCGCGGTGCAACTGCAAGGCAATCGGCGCCGACGCTGCAGCCGCCAGGCCCCACCAGCCGTTGATGTTCCCGTTGTGAGGAGCCCGCGACCCAGGAAAAAGGGGGTCCGCGGCGGAAGCGGAACACTTGGCGGCGGCCGGGCCGACCCGCACGGGAAGGCTGGGACCCAGCTTGTGCTTGGGCGGGGTTGGAGCGCGGCAACTATGCCCGCGGCGTAAGCGCCCCAGGCGTACCTGGCCCTCCCCTTGGGCTTGCCCTTGGCATCGGACTTGCCTCTGCCCTTCGGCTTGCCCTGGCCCTTGCCACGGGCATCTGCCCAAGCACTCCAAGGGTCGCGGCCCTTGCCGTACGTCGCTTCTTCGCGACGTCGCTTACCGCCCCTCTTCTTGTGTTTGTTTCTAAGAAGAGGTTGGATGGTTTCTTGGTCCATCGCAAGATTGGCCAGAAGGATCTCGTGCTCCAGCTCGTCCTGGCTGCTTTCGGAGCCAGAGTCCCTCTCTTCGCCACGCCGCGGATCAGGGATCCCGCGAGAGACGACCTCTGCCAAACGGAGAGGGGTGCTGCAGCGAAAGCACAGCTGCCTGAATGAAAGATTCCATTCATAGCAGTTAGGGCACTGCCACCCTGCAATGCGGAGCGCTTCGCTGATGTGGTCATCGCGCTCCGCCTTCTCCGCCTGGCGCCGCTCTCGCTTCTTGGCGCGCTCGGCCGCCTGCGCCTCCTCGGCCGCCTGGAGGGCTTCAGCGAGTTCCTCATCGCTGAGAAGCCTCGCGGCATCCGCCCGCGCTTGTTGGTCTTCAAGCGCTTCGGCAGAAACCCTCCGCCTCCATTGCTCGGGCGCGGTTTGAGGGTCTACCTCCCACCACCCGATGTCGATCCCTCATCCGCGGTGCCTGCCTCCATCTCAACCGAGACCTCCTCGTCCTTGACAACCTCAGCTTCCTCCTCCTGTTCCTCCTTGACCAGGGGCTCTTCTTGCTCCCGGCCAACGTTGAGGTGGGACTCAGTGCGAACCTCGGCGCGCATCAAAATGACGTCAAGGCTATCCGCGGCTGGGTCGCCCGCGAAGAAGGAATCGATCTCCTGGGCATGGAGATCGTCAAGAGGCGTCACCAGGTCTGGCGAGTAATCCCGCTTGGAACGACGACGCTCTGCCAGGCGTTGCTGAACGTCGCTCGTCGGCGGCCCGAGGGCCCGCCCGCGCGGAGCGGCCTCCCGCGGAGGTCCATGCTCGGCCTCCTCCGTGGGCTCGCTCTTGGGCGTGGACCCTCCACCGCTACTCTCTGGAGCGGGATCCAGCTCGGGGTCATCGCGAAGCCACCCCGGTGGATGACTACCACCATAAATGTGGTGCGATCCGTCCTCAAGCTGGATTCGGTCCCCTCTCTTCAGGAGCGGGACCTTCGAGTGATCGTACCCGTTGGCTTTGTGGTACCGAATCACTCGGAGCATGGGCACCTCCCCATACCCACCGTCCTTTCCTCGGCGGAACAACCGTCCCCGCCAGTCTTGACGAAAAGGGTCAAGAGGTGCGGAGGGGCTGATCCCCAGGTTGGGCGGAAGAGAGGCGCCATGGCAGGCCGCCTGATGCAAGTGGTATTGCACCAGCGACTCAAAGGCCAGCCCGCACCCAGGAGCTGAGCATCCATAGTGGCCGTCAGCATTGGGGCGAGGCACCTCTGGGGTGGGGGCGGACCGGACGGTCCCGCCTCTTGAAGGCCTGGCGGAACTGCTCGATCCCGCACCCCCGGGGGCATCCTGACCATCGTCAGACACCTCTTCCCCGTCGGCGCCTTCCCTGGCCGCCCGATTCTCTCCCCCACGGCGCAGAGTTTTGAGGGATTCCTCACGCTTGGTGATCTTTTCTAACTTCACCATCGCGGTTCCCGCCACCTCCAGTATTCTCGACTGGAGTTTCTGCGCTCTCAGAAGAGCTTCGGACCGCGCGAGGTACTCCTTCGCGGTGCTGACCACCGATTGGCCAAGTTCGAGGACTCCTTCCTCTATGCTCCCGGCCTGGGCCCCACCAGCGGGCTCTTCGTCCTCCTTCACCTTGACCGCGGCTTGGGGCGCCCGCGTGTCGGGAAGATCCGAGCTGGAACTATCTTCCTCGACACCTTCAGCTTCTTGGGCTGCCTCTTCCTCGAGCGAGTCTTCGGCCTCGAGGGCATTGGGGCCAGGGACGTTGCGCCTAGGATACTCCTTGGGCTTCGCTGGAAAGATCGAAGTCTTAGGAGCCCCTGAAGCACGCTCTTTGGCCTTAGGCGCGGCCTTAGGAGGGGTAACAGGTCGGGCGGCCCCCGCGGCCATGACACGGCCCGCAGGGGCCAGCACAACCGTCGAGGAGCTCGCCGCGCCACTGCTGGCCGCAGCAGCTTGGGACGCTTGGACCGTGCCCAGTTTCGGTCCTCGCCCCAACGGCGGGTGGGGGCCCGCACTGATGTCGCCTAAACTCCTTAGGTCGACATGCTGGATCAACCGATCCACTTCTAACTCAGCTATTAAGATGGAGTAAA